TCTGCTTTGACAGATCTTTTAAAATTTCTATTAGAAAAAGTTATTTGCATGCACATTAATTTATTTACCTTATAAACTTTTAAAAATGATCTTACTATTTTTAGTTAGAAAAGTTTATGCTAATAGACTATGGAATGGGAAGAACCCCCTATAATAAAGTTTAATCTGAAAATGATTAGTGTGATGATAAAATAACAGATATATGCATACATTCAAACATTTCACACATGGAAGTCTAAAAGAATGCTTTGAAATTCTGAATTATCTTATGATGATTTGATTATACAGGAACAGAACATGTAAATACTATCTGTACTCTGTAAACACAGGAAAAAAGGTGTTTTTATGGTACCCAAATAGTCATTTGTTTTAATATAAGAAAAAAAAGTCCTAATAATGAGAATTGAAAACAACAAAACAGGCTATAGCAAAAAGTAACAAAGATGTTTAAACATGAAGACTAGATGACGATTTTTCTGAGTTCTAGTGATGGGAAGTCCAATGACTGAATGACCTGACTCCTCCTTTTCCCTTCCTTAGAGTTTTAAGAACTGTTAAATCTATTCCGCAATAAATTTCAGCATGGATCTTTATATAACTGCAATTTTCAAGTTTATGAAAACTTACTTAAAAAGTTCCGCGATATAATATAGAACCAAGAATACAACATCCATTTTCTCCCTCCCCTCCTCTTTTTAAACTCAAATACTAATCTTTTAAAACACTTATTATTATTTAGAGATGGGGTCTCACTGTGTTGCCCAGGTTGGTCTCAAACTCCTGGCCTCAAGTGATTTCTCCTGCCTTGACCTCCCAAAGTGCTGGAAGTATGAGTCACTGTGCCTGGCCTTAAATATCTTACAAGATGGGGGCATAATTATTTTTTTATATATTTTGTGTATATGGAATAGGGTATTTTTCCTACAAACTTATTATGTAAAAAAGTTTATTATGCCAAAAATGTCAGTACTTAAGCCTTACTTCTTTATCTATATATAGAAGAAAGAAGTAACATATATATAAATTGAGATGAAGTCTTGCTCTATCACCTAGGCTGCAGTGCAGTGATGCAATTATAGCTCACTGCAGCCTCAAGCTCCTGGGCTTAAGTGATCCTCTTGCCTCATCCTTCCAAGTAGCTGAGACTACAGGTGCAGGCCACCGTGCCTAGCTAAATTTTTTTTTAAGTTTTGTAGAGATAGGGTCTACTAGCCTGTTGCCCAGGCTAGTCTTCAACTCCTGGGCTCAAGTGATCC